CGCCTGTCATCAGCTGAAATACTTGTGGCGTCATTATCTGATGATAGCAGGCGTCATTACGCAGTTTTCATGGGAACAACGATACAAATCAATCGTTATACGAAGCAATGTGTTGTAGACTTTTAAGAGTACAGAATTGTTTAATCATTCTTCTTGAGGTTTTATTCTATGTCCTGAGGGGACTTTCAGCCGGCCCCATGCCAAGCGTCAGAGGGCATTGCCTCTTCGACATTTGACTTTATTGGCTGCGTGGATGTTTCTCTAATCTGGACACTATGCCCCTCTCCCCACTCCCCTTTCCCCCCTCTCTCTGCCCACCACTGGTTCCCCGTCCGTTTCATTCCCCATTTTGCTTATTCGCTCTGAAGTCCTCTTGGACACAACTAAATCGTAGACGAGTAGCAACAGCATTTGGATATGGAACCAGTTGTGGGATGAGAAGAACAGCAAACCTAAAATAAAGGTCTGACCACAGTCGCGCCTGCCTGGTGAATTATGGGAGGAAAACACTGCAAATGCTCGAAAGAAGAAAAAACGACTTAGCGGACCAATTAAAAAACACAGTGAGCGACTGTAGGCAAGCCCGCCCGCACACCTGCAGACGGCACAGTATAAGAAAATTTAACTACGGGGCCTGTGGGACACCTCGCATATGTCACGGAATAGGACGGGATTGCCTACAGTCGCTCACCGTGAGGCCTTATATGCCACCTAGCGAGTAGGCAACCCACCACGCGTGAGTGCGGTATAGCAGCATAGCTTAAAGAAATATACTATAGAATACGTAGGAATGAAAAAAAAAACATTTTCCAGGTAGGTGTTTTTGCACACGAAGAAAGAGTACGGGGTTTGCGGGGTTTAAGGGACACCGTAACCTTAAATGTATTATGCGAGTCCCCCCCCCCCTCCCCCAACCCACCCCACAAAGGTGGGTGTTTTTGTGCATTGCGAGATGACACAATAAAACTGTCCCTTGTCTTTTGACACGTTGTTCTCTCCGCTAGGAGCGCGCTGAACACGGGCGGTGCTGGCAAGGTGCCGGCCGGCCGGCATGGACAGGGGGCAGGGCAGGACAGGTGTCCCCACGTGGATGTGCCGGCCGGTCATTGGTCGGGCGTGATCGCCGGCCCGCCCCTGTACACACTACAGTCCACACGGGCCGCACCGAAACCAATTGGGGCGATTGCATTGAAACCCGTCATTTTTAAACAAATATTTTTGTTGTTCATGGCTTTACTTTAAGGGGGCATCCGGAAGTAGGGGCCTTAAACGGGGGATTATTACACACTAAAAGCTTCTGAACATTTTTCTTCATAGATTACTGAGTTCTGTGTACGTGCTCTGCTTACGCATTTTTTTTAATACGCCGCCGGTGTGGACAATTTTGTTCATACAGGCGTGTTAAAAAATGCGTTAGCAGAGCACGTACACAGAACTCAGTAAGCTACGAATAAAATGTTCATAAGCTTTCAGTGTGTACTGCTGTGTGTTCGAGTTATAAATTGTCAGTAGTATGAAGACAGTTTAGAAGAAGGTACTTTTATAATTTTGGTTGATGAACCGAGAGTATCTCATCGCATGCATGGATGCAACGCCGAAAGGTTTATAGTGAGTCATCGTTGCGCCCGCCCGGGAGCACTGTACACATTTCATTGAAAAGAAAAATACGAAAGTAGAGTTCTTCCCCCATAAAAGTATACTAACAACAAATACAGTCGGCATTCATGTGACATACTTTAGGTGTCATCAACTCCTGCGAATGTTTTCTTCCTTGATCTGGATCGTAGGTAGCGCCTCTCCCCCCCCCCTTTTCCAAAGAAAAAAGTGAACCGCGATAAAAATGGCTCGGGCAGGGTCCACGCTCCTCCTCACATCTGCTGGCGCCCAAGATCGAGACAGCACTGGATGAAGTAAATGTCAGCCGCAAATTAGGGTGAGTGCCGTGTCCCCAGAGAATGGCGATGTTCCAGGCGTCGCTGAGCTGGTGAGGTAGGATCCTTGTTTGACTATTCCTGGTTCGCTTTCTTAATGGTCGTTTGCACAGTATTTGGACGAAATTTTTGTTTTTTTCCAATATTTAGATGGATAGAAAGGGGGCTCAGTGAAAAACGCGAGAAGGAACGCTGACGTCGATTGGAATTCAAAAACTGAAACGACGTCAATCTTTTTGAACACACTTATTTTTTGAATTCGACGTATGCTCGTCGTTTATCACGTTGAGTCGGGAGGTCCCTATTACATGCTATTTTGGCCATACCTGTGGTCATGTGGTCCTCAACGTGTTAATTGGCGTCTAGTGCACTGGGGGCCTTAACACAGGAAATCTGATGCACGCACACCTTCCGGGAATCTACTTACATATATGCATGCGTATTGCCTAGTTACAGCCGTTTTATTCCTAATAGTCAAAATAAGGGTGGTCCATATGCCCCTCTCTTTCATCTGCTTTAACTGTACCGCATGCAGGTGTGCGTGTGCGGGCGGGTTTGCCCACCGTCTCTCACTGTGGTCCCTTCTGACAGCCCCCGTGCGAGTATGCAACCTGCCCGCATGCCTGCATGCGGTACAGTATATGCAAACTAGAGGAACTGGACTGTGGCTGTGGACTACTCTGTATTTCTCAAGAAATCAATAGGAATCAATCTTCTAATTCTGGTACACTCTGAACAAGGGGGTTTAAGGTCCGGCTGACGGAGAGCGTGGAGCGCAGTCGGCCTCCTATTGCAATAATTGCCTTCAGATACCCCCACTTTTACTCCCTTCAGTATAAAAAAGAGTGGGGGGACCCCTCCTCGTAGACAAGGCGTAGACACATTCTTTCCATAAACTGTGATAAGAGTACACGAGGGTGTTTTGGTGTACGAGGTGAAAGCATGTTTATTACGGTGACAAATTCTCAGAGGCAGCCATCCTGCCTTACTTGAAAGTTGCAAACATAAATAGAAACGGTCACACGATTTCGCACGATTTTAAAATCGTTACTTAGAACATATTTTCACTAAAAACTCTTGTCAAGTCGCCAAAAATGCTAATTGGTAACAACCTTTAAAATCGACCTCCGTGTAGTCGCCGGCCTTGGCCTCATGTGACATACCCGTGATTAAATGAAGTGACATTTGTTGTCGACCATAATCGATTTCGGCACCATTCTCGACACGCAGCTCATCGCACAGGCCTTTATTCTTTTTGATTATATTTGTAGAGACTCGCCTCTGTCGAAATTATTCCGTTACGAACATATCACAACTTTTTTGATTCCCGGAGAGGATGTGTTCTGAAATCTCCGCGGAACCGAGATTCCGTGCTAAGGGATTTACAGAAGCGTTGCGGGTGGAGAAGGGGCGGGGTACAAACCAAGAAAGTGGGCGCACGTTGCATAAGGGTCTTAATTAGACCCAAATCAACACCCGAGCCGAGAATTTATGGGCCGAGCGCTAGTCTCTGAGTTCAGTAAGAAGGAGCGTTAGCAGATAATAAAATGTAAAATTGGCCCCTTGATCTGAGCCCCGCCCCGCTGTTTCAAATGTTAACGTGTTGCTCGGCTGCACCACTCCTCGCGGGCCACGGTGATTTCACGCGGTTTGGCGCTTCCCAGACCGTGCCTGCGTACGTGCGGCTCTGCAGAGGAAGGGTAATCTGCCTAAAATGTGCGCGTACTCGCCGGGGGAGGCGGCCTCAAGGACTACCGCCCTGTAAAAACCTTGAGGATGGTTGTGGCTGCTTTTGCAGTTGCGAACAATTTCTTTTGCCAGGCAAGAAAAATCCTTCCCAGTTGCGTAGAAATTCCTTCTTGGCGTAGGTTTACGCGGCAGCACGGACAAATTCTCCAACAGGTTTTATCAGTACGCAATTGACGCATTTACCTGCGAATTTTGTCGTTTTAACAGTGTTTTGCGACGAGAAGCTCGACCCAGGCAAAGCGCGCTGAATGACGCAGACCCACTCGACTTGTGTCGCATCACCGAATTTATAGTCAGCCATTGGGGTGATGAGTCATAATGATGGAGCTCCAGGGAGGGGTGCTGTACACTTTCACCCGTCTCTGAAAGCGTTAAGTTTTGAAGAGAAAAAAAAAGTAAACGGGAATGAACATATTTTTCTTTATTTGGTCAACGAATAACAGTCATAAAAGCTTTTGCCAAAGTATCGCATTTGCTTAGCCAGACATCCGGGAGTTCACGTCCACCGGGGTCAAAAGAATGCTCGAAGCAACCGAGACAAATAAAACAACATGGCAGTCAGGGCAGACGGGTCTTCCATACTCGCTAATTCGAGGAACCACCCCTTTTACCCATTCCGTGGCCAATCAGCAGGTGTCGTTTGGATGTCACACGATGGTCGCCGTGCGGCCCGCTGCCCAGCCTCAGACGGTGTTGTAGGTGCCGGCGGCCTGACCGGCGTCCGACCTGGAGTAGTTGATGCTGCCGAGGGGCGCGCCGAGGGGGACCCCGTAGCTGTTGGTCGGGACCTTCAGGCCGTTAGTGCCCAGAAGAGCGTTGCCACTGTTGACGGGCTGTCCGCCCTGGTAAACGATTTGGTTCTGAGGCTTGAGCTCGTTGGTCTTGTAGCGGATGAAGAACACCTCGGGCTTGGCGGGCTGGGTGGGTGCAGGGGTGCTGAGCACCAGGGACTGCTGCAGGTCGGGCTTCTTGGAGAGCACGTAGATGAGGGTCTTCTCCTGGTCGGGCTGCGGGACGTTGACGTAGGCGGCGGCGGGCGGCAGCACGGTGGGGGCCTTGATGAACACGATCTTGTAGTGCTTCTTGGGTTTGCGTGGTGCGTTCACCACCAGCGGCGCCACCTGTTCTGCTGGCTCTTCAGGCGCGACGTGGACGTACACGTGCTTGTGGACATCAGCATCCTGCACAAAACGCACAACGAGCAATTTCGTAATCCTCGGCCAGAAATCGATCCCTCGCATGATAAATAACATGATAATCAGGTTAATTTTGAAATGTTCTATGAACACCATAGGAAATTAAACACGATACAACGACCTCACTGTGACTAGCAATTTCAAATATTAATGTCCCTCATGTATCCACGTGCAGTACGGCTGTGCATCGTGGCGGTTGGAATAACCAGCAAAGCGTGACCACATTGTGGTTCGGCCGCGCTGAATTAAACGTGTTAAACTACTCAAATCGCACACTGATCGAAACTGTGTCGTGCTGCTGTTTGTCATCCTGAGGTACCGGTTGAATCGGTTTACGCGCCACTGTGCTGCGGGTTACCCTATACTCCTTTCGGCCCGAGCGAGTAGGCAAACACGAAACAGACAGCAGATAAGCTGTCCGGGAGGACCGCGCACATGGAAGCCTGACCTGGTAGTCGTTGCTGTAGCGGTTCGGGTAGCTGTTGTCCACGACGATGTTCTGCGTGGCTGGGGGCGGCGAGGCCACGAGCAGGGACGGGCTTACGTAGCCGTTGGAGTTGCTGGCGATGCCGTTGTTGATGACCACGGCGGGCGGCGCGGGCGGGAAGTTGGTGTTGACGCTGCCGGTGACGGGCGCCGGGTAGGTGTAGCCGCTGAGCGGGGCCTCGGCGGTGGCCGCCCCCAGCGACCCGGCTGCCAGCACCGCCGCCAGCACTGCCTGCACGGAACACAAGCACTGTATCACGCACGCACTCCCGATTTGAATTCACTTGCACATGGCATTTCTTGACTAAGTAAGGCAGGGATAATCCGTAATTTAACTGCTTTCTTTGAAACTATAGATAAAAATTGTTTACACGACATTGTTTTGAAACGTAATTGTCTTACTGGAACAAAGCGGCCCACAAGAAACATGGTGTGCTGGTGGTTGGAGTGGATCTGACTCGAAATTGGAGGCCATGCGCGCCTTATATACTGGCCGACGTGCCTCGCAGGGCTGGGCTCGGCTTGCTCAGAGTGCGGAACTCTCCCTCCCCCGCCGGGTGGGCCTGGGCAAGGCTGAATGAGAGGATGGGGTAGGGG